GTACATGGCCACTTGTTTACCAAAAAGAAAAATTGTCCAATCCTGATTTCCATACTTGCAGTTAAAATACCAAAGTACATTGTTCAGCCCAAAATGCACATTTCCAATATATCAAATCTCACTCAATGACAGACAGATTGCCTATCCTTACCTCTGTGGTGTTGTGTTCATCCTTGAGGCGAGTTCCTGGACTAGACTCACCACCAGGGGGATGGGGAGTCTCTGAATGGTTCTCCTGATGACAGACTCCTTCTGCTGTTGGAACACACTCTGTCAAAAAGAACGCCATCGACAACCCAACATGAATCTCTAATCCGAAATCATCTCTGCCAGAAATCTACCTGAATCTCTCAAAATGACAACAAAACAGCACTTTTTATCTCCAATAATTCGACATCAAGCCTCATGAAAGATAACAGTGACTTGAGCTTTGAAGCCAAGAATCTACAGAAAAACTATTCAAAAAGGTGTCAGATTTGGTAAGACATCGGAAGGCTATGTTACAGCATAAATTACACGTTGTTGTAAAACAGGACTTGTGACATTTAAAATGACTACATAACTGTAAGTTATCCCTGTTATAAGGACAAAAGTGAGAAAACGACAAAGTAAAGTCTTTGAAACGATAAAAACAGACCATTTTTATATTTCTTTTCTTGGCATGGCATACACGTGTCTTACACACACAACCAGCCAAACAAGTACTGTGCACCGTAACGGTGTGGAATGGAAACACTTGTTTTAGATTCGGTTGAACAGTTTTAAAATGTCTTAGGTATTGTTCTTGTTCTAGTACAGTGGGCTTTTACATCGATATTGTTTCTTATACAATATTTTTGGTTGCATGAGCCATGTGTTAGTGTGCTGGCTGGTGCCACACTGTGAGAGAGATTTTTATTGTTCTGAAAATCTGAAGAGAGTTTGGAGGACTTTTGTGAGAGCCCTTGCTTTTTGATTTTCCACAATATTATAACCCAGGGGTGAAATCCCGACAACTTCCAAACACATATGGGTGACCTTACATGTACGCACCCAACAAAAGAAGAAGATGTCATTTTCCATAGAAACAGATTTCCAAATCAGTTAAAAAACGGACACCCTACTTAACCACTTGAGGCTGAATGATGTGTGAACACACAAAATTTTCCTTATTTGTTCCAAGGAGGATGTGTTCACTCGTTAAAGAATTCTTTATTCATTTCCGTGGTTGACGTATTAATGCGTCGTGCTTCCATGGATCAAAGCGCAATTGAAAGGTTGAAGAGTTTTTCAGGAAAAAACTCACCCCCAGCGGCTTTTCTGGGTAAGGAAATCCTACATTAGCTGGTTAATAAAATCAGAAAAAATGAAATTCACAAGTCGTTCTCCGCTGAACAGTGCTCCTTGACTTACATCCAGCATGGTCTTATCACTGCTCTGGAGTCCCTGTGTAAGTAGCATGACTAACGATCCCGTCTTAGCACTCTGGTCTTGGGTTGACATGTCCACCTGAGCACCAGCCACATTGAGGGCAACAAGTCGGTCCTCAATGCTTACCTACAAGGGTACAGGCATTGCAAAGTAAAGTTAATTATGTTTTCTTGATTTTTTCATGGGGGGTCAGGAAAATATGCCGTTGAACATCAATCCTTATCGCTTACAAATTTGTGCAAATTGTCATGACAACTGGCCCACAGATTCAGAGCTGCCAACCTTTCACTCAGCTTTTCAGTATTCTGAAGGCTGAAAATCAGTATTCTACTAAAGAAATCAGTATTTTCCTCTGTGACACTGTAAGAATGTTCTATTTTACTCCCAACTGGTTTTTGAAAGGCTGCTTTCTGGAACTCTTTGAAGATGACGATGTTGAAGCCATTTCTACGATCAGCTGTGCTACGCTGAATTGCAGAATCTAACAGCCAGGGTACACACGACATGCCAGTTCACACCACACAGCACTAGCAAATTACCATGCTTGCACTGTATACATTAGGCTAGGCTGCACCGCACAGTACATTGCTAGATAACTGTAGATGTCAGGGCATCAGACTATCCTCAGCTGCAAGATAGATGCCCCATGAAAATGCTTAACTCCTTACGTTTACTGTGCAAGCGATCAGTTTTGGTCAGGATCGAATTGCATAGTGTCCACTAGTTGGCATGCCATAGCAAGCCTGTCTATACTGTGCATAATAATATGCAATGATTGGACTTTCCAAAATCCGTATTTCTTAACAGAACAGGAACGTTTTGGAAACAATTTTGTGCGGTTAACTCAATGACAGCAAAGCTTTGTTCAAGCATTTACCATCGACTGAGAGGATTTTCTTTTGCTTTTCCTTCCTTCAACAGCGCTCTCGCCTTCTGCCGCTGCCCTGTAGCCAGTGTGAGCGAGGACACTGGGCGTCTTCACTACTTCTGCTCCGGTCACCACTGGCTTCTTCAACTGGAGGGTCAAAGTTTAGAAAGGATGGTCAAAGTTAAGACAAGTTAACACATCATTTACAGCTGGATGTGTACATGAGAAACAATGTTGAAGTTGAGATCATCACAAGACCATGCACAAAACCAGTCACAAGAAACAGGTTGAGCAATGACAAAGGAATGCTTTTGTGGCAGTTTATTTGAACAGCTTGTGACTTGAATTCAGACTAGAGGTCTTGTGTTTGTCTCGTGTTGGTCTTGTGAAGGTCTCAGGTGGTCTTGACAACAACACTGGTGAGAAAGTCAGTTTGACTTCTGCAATCCAAAGTTACGGGTAAGTTCAAGGGGCAACTAAAGGCACATTAAATAAATATTTCCGAAAAGTCCGATATCAAGATCAAGACTAGATGACTTTAACATGTGTATCTAACAATCTTCGTCATCGACAAGAACAACTCCTTATTCTTTGGGTCTACAAAGCTACAGCTTAACCCTAACCCTCCTCAATCCTTCACCTGTTGGAGGATTGAGGAGTGTTAGGGTTAATGCAGCCTTTAGCGACTATGACCTGCCTTCTTAGACTCACTCACAATGAACTTTCGTCAGAGATGTGACATGAGGGAGGAAACTTAATAGGTGCCAAGTTCAGCTCACTTCTGATTTCTTCTCAGGTGCTTCAGAAAAAGCTTGGCTTTTTACCTTTTCTCCAGAAACTTGGGGGATGGCTTGAGTTGAGGGATCTTCTCGTATTAAGCAGATGCTCTTGTCTTCTGATAGGAATGACTGAAAACCAAAATAAAGAAAACAACTTGGAGAGGGTTGAAAGAAACATCCTTATTCATGCCTCAATTTGTGTGAGGTAAATCATTGTTTTAAGGGCAAGCTTTGTTACTGACAACGAGCCAGTTCCGTAGTCCAACAGACTATGCACAAAATGAAGGGTGTTACAGGTCATTTGAGATAATCAATATGCAAGCATAAATATGTTCAAGTTGGTGCAACGGCAAAAGTGTCAGGAGCTTTGTTCCTACACGTTAATTTCTAAAACATCAAATGTGGCTCACTGTCAACATTAAGGTCATTTATGGAGGTCTATTTCCATGCAATGGAATACTGATACTTGCCCAATTAAGAATGACTCGTCCAAATATGGATGCTTGGGTCTAGTTCTTGTACTCACCACTCTCTCAAATGTGAGTTTCAATATGCTGCCATGAGCAATGAGGATAGGTGGGCGCAATTCTGGGCAGAGCAGAGCAGCCAGGATGGGAATGGGTCTAGGGGATATGTCCTTGCCACCCTCTGTGCTAACCAGGAGGTGTGACCTCGCCTGCACCTGGTTCTTGGCTTTGCTGTTAGCACGACAAAGGCAAACAGAACTTTTGTTAAAAGGGTGTCCCCCTTCAGGCACATGTAGTGCCTTAGAGAACAAAAAAGGGAATTTTCCACGATTTGAATTTTCAGCAGGGGACATGGGAGGGTCATCTGGGGTCTACCAGACGGGTGCGCACCATCAAGTGCTCCCAAAGACTGATCCAGGCCGGGGTTGACTGTACGCTCAAGGTCGGCTCCACGAAATGGGAGAAGCCCAGTGCTGGCTGGTGGCCAGAAACAACCCACTTGTGACGAACAGCTGTCCGTTCACCAGAGACAAGTTGAGAGGCTAGGTGGCAATCGAATGCCGTGTGAGCCATGCACCCTAAGTCCCTTGCGAATATGCAGCAGGCGTGTGGATTTCCAAAAGATATCGTGACTTGATAACAAAAAACTTCTCACATTTACAGGATTTTGAGCAAGAGCAGACCATTGCACCTGCAGGTACTTCGAGGTCACAATCAGTGAGTAGTCAATCCATGCCCTGGAATGATTCACTGAACCGCTCACATGACTGGTAAAGGAAGGGTACGACGAATTATGTGAAACTTTAGTAATGTCTTACCCATTCAATACAGGATCAAAAATGTGGACTTCTCCACTCCTTGTGACAACAGAGAGGTACGTTTTCTAAAGAGAAAAAAAAAATTGTCGGAGGTAAAATTCAGTATCTAGCTATCATGCCGACAAAAGCAAGCTAAGGGATAAACAGGATTTGGAAAAGAGAAGGAATAATTTTACTAAATGGCAACTCACAACTCTCTGTGAATCTGATGCCAAAAGTGGCAGCTGGTTAACTGTTAGCGTGCACTTCATTTCAAAAGCTGTCATAAACCGTTCAAACTACCGTCAACCTTGGCTTGTCAGACAGTTGGAGAATACCCTGCTTTCAACATCAGACATTTGTAAACACTTACCAACAGCACAAACAAAGTGTCCTTCATGCCTTGTTGTGTTTATGACGGAGACACAACAAAGCCTCATGTTGCATCTTCTGACCCAGTAGATTAGGGTCATAAAAGGGATAGAATCATTTCACTGACTAAATTTATCCATCTGACTACAAAAAGTCCACACACTGATGAAACTGTCTACTTTACACTTTAAGGTCAACTTACCTGATCTTTGGATGAATTTAAAATATCGAAATCCAGTGGCTCATCAGGAACAACAAGTGACGCAATGGAGGATTTACTCTTTAACGCTGAACGGACTTGCCTAGCAATTTAAAAAAAATTACAAATGAATCACCAATTGACTCTCTGGCCCTTGTTTCATTTGTTTTGTCTGTTAACCCATTCCTTTATCTTGACTACATTAGTATTCCCATTCTACAATCTCTGTAACTACTTGGAATTTTGGTTCACTGACAGCATGAAAAAGAAGACAAATCAGATCGACAACAAATTCAGTGACAACAAATTCAGTGAATATTTCAGAGCCTCTCAAAACCTAAATCAAATTGGAATGGATCGTTTTTGACACCCTATAATTAGCAATGTCATTGCCTTCAATTGCCTTGGAGTGAAACAAGAAAATGGGATTATTTTGACTCCAGACTTTTGCTGGAGGTTCAGGCATCCTGACAAGAAACTACAGACTTTTCTGAATAGACGCCATTACTGTTGGGCCACCACACTCGTGCAGGGGTCCTTAACACGAGCCATCATAAGTCAGGACACCTCACTAGTCAGACAGGATTGTAACGTGAGCGTACCACCTGTCTGTGAATGGGATTGCCCCACAGTAATGGCCTCTCGCTCTGGTCACCCGATTCATCGATATCATATCAGTCCACTATATCCCAATCTACGCAATCCTGCATCCAGCCCAATGTGATTATAATATCCACCACAAAAGTTCTTCAATTTACTCTCTGTTCTGGAATCACCACTCTGTCCATGATGCTACTTCCAAAGTCTCAGACGTTTGAAAATGAAATGGAACAATTTCAAAGTGCGACCTCGGTCCACATTAAGAAGTTGATCCACACTGGGTGTGTGTTTGCTAGAGGGGAAAGGAAGAAACAGGGGTGTGGATATGGGCCAGTAAAAGAAATGGAGAAAACATACCACACATTCAGAACCCTATCCCTCTCAGCACAGGAGAGAAAATACAGTCCCTCTACCGATTCTAAGCTGCTCATTACACGAGACGACTCTGATGTGGAGCTGGGTACAACCTTTAACCTCGTTACTGGACTTGCATGACCGGTAAATTTCTGAAAGCAAAAAAAAGGTAGAATTGAAACGCTGCATTGTAAAACGGAAAGTTGTATGACATTTCTCAAGCTTAATTTACCTGTGCCATTCTCCAGTTTGTGGACAATTCTTCATGACCGAGAACCTACACGACCCTTAATGAGACGTGCCTGATGATGCCCACACGCAAACATCCAACCAGCCGGGAATCGCTATTTGGTAGTAACAAAGGTGTGCAAGTATGCAATTGTACAGTTGCAGACTCTGTGAGGGGCCATGGAAGAAAACTTTGGTCTGTTGGCTGACCAGAGAAGCTAAAATTGGCACTCACTCTTAAAACTTTCTTGGTATCCATGTCCCACAGCTGTATCATTCTGCCTGCCGAGAGGAGGGCTCGGGCCCCAGGACAGAGACAGACGGAGTGAACAGAATGGGTGTCTGCTTTCCACTTACTGTAGGGAGAAGAAAATTAGGATATATTATGAGGAAATGGTGCTTATTGAAAAAAGGACTTCTTTGAAATGAGGACAATAAAAGCCAAACAATGTAAAAAGTTTGAAGATGTCCCAGGCTTGAACAATTACGTGAGTGCATACACTTGCTGATAGAAAATTGGTTCCTAAAAGTCTTGAGCAATAAATGTTTTATCCATTCTCAATGAACACAAGATTTTTAAAACAATTGGAATGCGGCCTTGTGGATAGGGTTCATGACTCCTGATTACTGGGCCTTCGAATAAGGCCACCGGTTTTAAGCTATAGCCTTGGGCAAGTCACTTCACCCCTGCTTGCCTCTCTCTACCTGGAAGTCCATGCGGATACCAGCAACTAGTGGGGAACGACCAGCAATGGCCTGGCATCCCATCCAGGAGGAATAGAAATATTCTCTGTGGTTTCATGCTAAAGAAACCAGAGATAAATCTGGCCTGATGAGCTGCAGTGGCTAAGGACACACTTGCATTTCAAGTGTTTCTTGGGCATCCTTCTCTGGTGCTGTTGACACTAAACAGTGTTAATGACTGCATCCTTCAAGAAGTGCCCGGGTTTGGGTTGAACAGTTTATGCATCACTGTAAGTCGTAAACTGACTAATTACAATCTCAATTAAAGACAATTTGCATCTTTTATTTTTCAAACTGTCAAGCGTAATATTCAGAAACAAGCTAAGCTCCTCGTTTTCACCCTATCCGTCTTTACCATTTCACTTGGCCATGGGTGGCATCCCACTCAACAATGTGCTGATCATCGGAGCAGCTGAATATCGTCTCACCGTCTGGGTGCCAGCACATGTCATTGACCTTGTCTGTGTGGCCCTGGTCCTTATCAAAGAATGGGAAAAAAGCATGGTAGAGTGTATAGGTGCGTGTGATGAAGAAGCTGTTATATGACGGTACTTCGCCAAGCATACACTTTTAATACTATGGACACATGTACCAAGTTCAAACAAAATTTTGCCAGTACAGGTTAGTGCATGGAATATGATGGGTTTTAGCTGGCAAATTTTAAATACAAGTTACATTTCTAGCTACAAGTATATGCACATTTTTGAGGCCATTTTCCTTTTAAACCACACACAGCATGGAATTACGGTCGCACAGTTTTGGACCACCTGTGGTACTTGACAGAACAAAAGCAACTGTGATTGGAAAACTTACCCGAAGGACATGTAAAGATAAAAGTCTAAAAATATAAATTCTCTTGGTGTTTCACTCATTTTTGTGCTTATCATGTGACCCTGGAATATGGAGGATCAATTGGACAGAACAAAATTTATCTGCCCCTGAGTTGAGGTGCACCCCCCAAACTGCCAAAGACAGACAGATGGTTGTAAGTTTTCCAAGTGGGTTCTTGCACGCATTCTGCATGTACAAAAAGACCATACATTCAGGAATAAGTTTGTTACGTGTACTCTGTGTGCCACTGATCTCCAATGTAAATGCACACTTATGCCGTGAGTACCCAAAAAGACACGCCCTCTTTGGTTGTGCTTGGAGCAGTTTGTATGATTGGTCTGACCACTTTTGGGGCCTAATGTCATGCCCTGCCCCACTTGTTCTGAAAAGTAAAAAGTCTCCTATTTTTTGGCCATTTCACAAAGAGCGAAATTGCCCAATTTAGTCAAGTGCAGACATTCGACATTTTAAATGTCTTTACCATGTGTCTGTGTAGATCTGCTTTGGCAAGACTATACAAAAGGATGGTGCCAGCTCGAGTTCCCATGGCGAGCAGATCAGAGGTGGAGATTGCTGAGGCATCATTCTCTCGCTTCAGTAGTTTGTGTGATCGTCTCTTCTTCTTAGCTGGTTCCTGTACAGAAAGACAAAGAGAACCAGACCAATAGTCATCAATGTAAATTGGGAATAAAGCGCAATAGCATTTGGCTTAGTCATAATTAGGATGTTGCGTCGGTCTTACTCTATCAGTCACTGCTGATAGAATTTGACGGTCTGATTATGCTTGCATTCCAATCATTCCCGGCCACTGCAAGCAACCTGAAAACAACAAATTTTCCAGCAGATAACACGTAGCACAATAGCATTGCAAGGAAAGTAATATCCAGATGTTCATGTGCTTTTATTTGTTGCATTCCATGTCTCTGAGAGGGTGTTAGCCTGGCCTCATTAAGATGACAACGGGGTAGCCACTTTGGCCTAAGCATTATCCAAATTTCAAGAGGAACGGAGGACAAGTGAACGGGCAACAAAGCTGTAATATGAAAAAGGTCAAAGTTCACATTTAGTTTAAGCACTAATAAAAGTGAATTGTAATTGGGTTAAGTATATATGCAAACAGTAGAATCCAATGTACCATGCATGCAACACCTCATGTGCTTCCAACGAACTGCACATGCAAGTTGCTTCATCTTGAGAAAAAAGTGGAGCTGGCCTACCAAATCAAGATAGTTGCTTTATTTGGCTCCACATACCCTCATACACATAAATATGGGTGATAAATAAACTAAACAATTTAAATGTACATGTTTTTTCTGTAAACGACTTGATGTTTTGCCTTAATTATTATTACAGGTACCTTAAAATAACAATTAACAGGAGCATACTGACTGACTTGGCTGTAAACAGCAGATTGTTTAAGGGCATTGGGGCCAATCCTGCAAGGCCACAGACGCAATGGCCACAATTGATGTCATGGCCTATTTCACCATAAATGGTTTTGAAATACTCACCTGAATTAAGACCATCTTTTAAAGGAAACTTCAACCTGTTTTCTTCACTGCAACACATAAACTTTCAATGTGATCAACAAAGTTTGCTTCTTGACAGCCACACTATGTAGCAGTGCTGTAGTCGAGTTACCAATGTCCAGACCAAGTTCCGAGTCTCAAGCCTTGAGTTTGAGTCACAAACCTCCAGTCCAAGTCACGAGTAACAAGTCATGAATCAAGTTGTTCAGCCAATTATTCTAAGTGTATCAAACCACGGAAGAACATCCATGATCAAAGCTCTAAGTTCGTTGTGTACTATCTGTTTTGTTTATGCTGATTAATTACATACATTGCTAATGCAATAAGTATTTTTTTGCTTATGAAAATCATCCACCATTTAAACTTTAAATTCCAGTATCTTTATTTATTTAGGAAATGAAGTGCTAGGGCAGTTTTAAAATACATTTAAGATGGGCTCAGGAGAATGCGTGAACCGAAGATGAGGGTATTTAAAAAACTATTACAGTCATGCCCAGCGCAGGCCACATATTTTTTATTTTCACGCGAGCCTGGCCATTTCGCTAAAAGTGTTCGCAACTGGTTCTAGATACTATGAGGCTGAATATGTACGTCCATACTTGCGTGTAAATAACAAATGTGCACCCAGAGCATAGTCTGATTAATGCCACACAGTTTGTGGATACGGAATATGATGCATCTGGTTGGCTCATCAGTGGATATTTAGCCGTACATAAACCAGCACAGTAGAAAATATGCAACATGATGACACTCCACCAGTAATAGCACGGATGCATACAAATAAATTTTCGACCGCGTTTACGGTAAATATGTTTAATGAAAATACATAACTCGAGTCATAAGTCACCAATGCATCCTGAGACCCCAGGGTCATGTGTGCCATGGTGGTTTCATGATCAGCCAGATGATGAAAAAAGGAGGTGCCTCAACTGTGATTTCTGTGAGTCATAAACACATTGTCTGGGTGCCTCGTAGAACGGAAGAAGTGGTGTGTTAACGTCACAATTTTTCCTAGCAAATTGACAGAATGAAAATTCAACTGGAAATCAATCGTTCGTGGATGATGGAGGCGTACCATTCAACAAGGTCAGTGTCAGGTCTCAAAAATCTTGTCTCCACACAAACATTATGTTCATTCAGCCCATACCATGTGATCATGCACAGTGACAGTACAATTGTTATAGGCTGGCTCTTTCTGACTTCTTTACACTACTTTGTTTACATGTTTTGAAAAAGGAGCTGCACTAGCTGTTCAACATCCTTAGATATATGGATGACACTAACTTTTCCCTACAGTCACCTACTTATTAGCCATCTGAAAGCAATAACGTGATGTAAAATGTCAAATTTAGCGGGGAAAATATTGAGGTATTCAGGTAGTGAACACTAACAATTTTCAAACTAATCAGTAATCTCATAGAGTTCATGTAAAGGATGTCAAACGGCATCCGTAAATGGAACTCTTTCCAAAAATAATGAATTTCAGTAGTTCTTGCAAAAGTAAGTCAAAATTATCAATCCAAAATGGTATCGACATGACCAAAAAGTCCCCCCATATCCAAAATCTTCAAATTGTGATTTATGGTGTTCATTACCTATAGTACCCTGTTCCTATAATGAGAACAAATTCTACTTTTTCGAAACAACTTATCTAAACAAGTTGTTGGTGATGTCCTCTTTCATATCAGAAAAAAACAAAACAGGGCTTTTGGTTTTTCAAGGAAATTTTGGGATAAAACGACTGCCCCAAAAAGCTGTGAACGATGATATATTACTAGCAAATGTGGTCTGGTTCCTTGACCTGGATGGAGATTTGTTTTGATGAGTCCACAATGCCTCAGTTGGGTAACCAGACGAGAAATAAAATGGAATGATTCAACTGAGCGGTTGTCTTTTGCCAAACTCGGGTTTGAAATTTGTGGTTTTCTTGCTTAATTAAATATTGTCAAAATTAACCTAAACTAGGCATGCTAGGCCTATCAGGATTGAGTAGGCCTAATGGTTCCTTTTAAGGTCAAAATGTTAGTTTGAGAAAGTGGACGTTGTTTCCTTATAATGGGGTGGGTGCGGACATCTAGGACTCTTGCAAAATGGCAGGTACTAGCATGACTAGTTCCTGATGAAAATACAAACTATGGCGACGTACATATGGCACCTGCCAGTCAGATGATCAGATCCCAAAATCATTTCTTTGATCAGTATGGATGTGCGCATTCGTTGCAATTGCTTTCATTGGTTAGGGATGTTACAAAATTTTGAGATATTTAAAATGAGCCCAGAAAATAATCCCACTGGATAAAGCATAGCAAGACCTTTCATTTGATACCCCATTCAACCCCATGGCTTTAGTATTAACAAAGTTATATTCTTCCCTGTAGTTTATCTATGGACACACAAAAAATGTGATTGGAACAGCCAGAGAACGGCAAATGTATGTGATTATGAGTGCGTTTTGTAAGACACAAGAAATTGCACGACATTTTCAGTTCTTATTTTACTGATTGATAGTATCTCATATATCCTTGAAATATTAGCATTTTACATGTACATGATCATTATCAGAATAAAAGTACAGAAAAAAATATAATAAAAAAATAGAGACTTAACTTCCTGCAGTTATCTTGGGAACTAGGCCTACATGTACTTGCATCGAATATGACCCAAAATTTGTTTACCATTTCCTAATGATAAATGTTAGTGTTCCAAGAATATGTTGTTGATCAAAAAAATCAATTTCAAAACTGTGTTGGTACTAAAAATGGTAGAATGGTTCAAACACCAACCCACATAATACAGCATTAGCATACGTAATGCAATCGCTCGAACATGTGGTGAATTTTCATTATTGATATGTGTTTGAAATCCACAAACATCCACAATCCATATTGTCAAAATCACCATTTTATACAATATTTTGACAGAATGGTACTTATTTTATCATTACCTTTCATATTTGTGCGATGACAATCTAAGTGCAATGACGATCGTACGATGTCATACACGCTTTATAGGCTATGTCAGCATTGCACGGCTCAAAAATCCCAAACTTTGCCAAAACTGGGACCAAAAAAAAACACACTTCGCATCGTATGATTCCACTCAAATTTCACCACAAAGTAGGTAAGATATTTTTCTATCGAAATGCATAACTTTTGTTCCGGGAAGATAATCTTGTATATGATTAGCGAGAAGTTGAATGCAAGCCCAAAGTTAAGAGAGTGCAGACGATCCCTAGAAGTTAAGACCTCCTTGGAAGGATGGTACCACATGACTAGAATACATGTACGTTATATTGATGACCTAATGGGGAATACCCCTTTATAACCCACAGAAACACGTCATTTCTGGGACAGCCTCCGATGCTCCTGCAAACGCCCGTGCACACACGGTAGCTACATTCCGACCGCAACATCCCTATGAAGTATAATAAAACCAGTGCTCTGGAATATGTGATTGCCTCAAATCACATATTCAAGAGCACTGATTTCATATTATATTCTTGTCAATATTCTGATGACGGTGCTACGCAGCCCTTCCATATTTCTTGTAACATCCCTACATTGGTTGCTACCCACCACTTAGCGAAACTCCCGGATGTCCGTGCCGCCCGCCCGCGCCCCATAGGAATACTAGGGTGCTAAAGGTAACTAACATCAGATTTATTGTTTTTTCGACACTTCTGCCATGAATGACCATTATATTTGTTGAAAATGTGATATAAGAGTGCTAAACATTTTTTCTGTTGTTAGTGAAAAAATGTCCGCAAATTGGGCAATATTGCAACTGAACGCGTGATGATACCAACCGTCCTTGTTGGGCACCAGGATAAACAGGTACAGGTGGCTGACAGGTGTGAACTTGGCGTGTACTGTTGAGTTATTGTCGCTGAAGTGGTATCCCATAAAGAAAGGCGCCCATCGGGGCTGCAAACTGCCAAAAAGCTACCATTTGGCGAGTAAGAAATAACTCCAGTGGCCGCCATCTTGAATCCCACGTGTCGACCTCTGGCCTCATTTGCATACACGGGCACTTCGCCTTTTTTATCTATTGGCAGTTTGAAAATGTCGACTTAGCATCCATTTGGGATCAAACTAATTTTGACCCACCATACTGACGGTAGACGATTAATTAAAGAAAGAATCGAATTCTGTGACAGAAACATTGAACCAAAGATGGATAAAAACTGAGCTGCTGATCGTCCACGCGCCGGTTGATATTGGTGATCCGCATTCGAACTTTTAGTGGTGGCGCCCTTCAAGTCTCTACTCAATCTCCATTTTCGTCTACCTTTTTGTTGAATAATCCGCTCAATGCAAGTCCGATGGAGCCACAAGAACATCGAATGATATGCAACAGAGCCAAATACTGAAGTGTTTCTATTTAATTTGAACACTTGAGGCCTGCAATCGGGAACTGACTTTCGAGAAGAAGCCTCTGACGGAGACAGAGTCGAGTATTGGAAACCCTTCCAAAACTTTCGGCCAAACTTCGGGTTTTCATTTCGGGGCACGGGGCGGCTTCATTTCTATGCCCTCGAGATAAAGATAAGACGATCCGTTGCCGTTCAGTTCCATTTGCTTTCCATCACATTCACGCATCGATCTGCCTAACTCGAGAACAGTGTAGGGCCGACACGTGAAAGGCACGTTAGTTCCCCCGTTTGAGACCCACAAACGTAACAGTTGCTACGTCTAATTTGCCAATGGTAATTGTTTTCTATTAACCTGTGGGCTGCTGCAACCTGTCAATCCCTACATACCAAATAAATAAGAATATAGATCATAATAATAACAAACGTTATGAACTTACGAGATTAATCCAGTCCCATTACAAATGAAACTGTAAGGAACGACGGAGAAAAGGCGCAGAGCACACAAGCCAAAATAACCCATTTCGAAATACATGTAATTCCATTAATACCGCACATTTTTCTTGAAAAGCATTTTAAGTTAGATAGCAAATTCTATATACACATTAAAATGTATAGCAATTTATATTAATATAATTATAAAAAAAATTAAAATTGAAGGACTGAATATGATAGATGTATTGGGAGAGTGTAGTTGCGCATTCGTTTCTAAATTGGTAATTGAAGTGCATGCGGCTTTTCGATGTTTCAAAACTTGTTTCCCAAATTGTATCATCCAAACTGTTTCGAGGAGAGGAAAGAGAAAAATAATTATTTCTCATATTTCAATCGTATGAATTTGTGCTTACGTCTTACTGCTGTCGACCAATTAAACAACATCTAAGCCTATCCGCATTGACAACTTTCTTGTCCAAACAGTAGTGCTGTTGACATTAATTTTAAGTTCTGAAAACCTACAAATTAATACTTGGGACTTTAAACACCGACAAATATGTTCAACCAGTTATATACATTCTCCAGATATTTCCAAGTATGTCAATGAATGTTATAATGTTTACTAATCCTATGTACAAAGCAGTGCTGGGGTAAAATGTGAAAACAACAATCTGTACAGGAAGCCATGCATACATGTATTGTACATACATAAATTTTATCGAATGCATTTGAATAAAAAACAATACAAAATATAAGATATGCGTCATGAAAATGCACCTTCTGTCTCGTATTTGTTTTTTTACTAGAAGATGGGATGGATTGCAATTTAATCAGTTATAAAAACAAGGAATTGAAGTGAAAAGTTACCATCTACATATGCTTTCCATTAAATAAAAGTAAATCTATCTACCTGAAGTCCTCTTCGTTTGATGATATTGGACGAGTTTAATTTAAGATACACCTGTACACACTTGCAGTCAGTAATTGCATAATTATTATTCGTTCTTCCTCAGTCATTCACTTCACGTTTTGAGACGAAACTTGTGCAAAAAGATAGTGCTTGACAAGTTTTGGTAACGGTAGCTGAAAAACTCCAGTCAGAACAGGTTGGACGCGAGCACGGCTGATCTCCGACCGAATACTGTGTCTACAGATCTGTTGCAGAGATCTGGGGGTTGATATCTCCCTGAGAACCCATGGCAGAATCGCCTTCTGTTCCGGAGATGCACCTGCTTGTTTCAAAGTCTCCTTCACCAGTTCAACAGTCTCTGGGGCTGCTTGGACTACAGGTAAGTAGGGAAGAAGCTCCTTCAAGCCCTGGGCTGCTACAGCTGGATTGGTCGCACTTCTCCTGGTGTCGCGACTGCAGAGTTTACGGAGTGCGTAGTCCAAGGGGGTGAGTCCAGCGTTGTCTATGGGGGTCGGGACAGCACCGTGATGGAGGAGCTCTTTCAGGCAGGCTGCACGGCCAAGCTCGCTTGCCAGATGGACTGCAGTTTTGCTCGGTCCAGACATCATGCAGCCCGACGCTTTGTTCAGGTAGCTTATCATTGCCACCTTTTTTGTCTTCTTGCTCTTAAATTGATCTGGCGTCAGCTTGACCCCAGGAGCAGACCGTATGGTCTTTCTGAATCGGTACCCGTAGTGGTACAGCTTGGACCGGTGACCCTCCGAGGAAGGCAGCATCAGGGTGTGCTGCAGAAGCCTCCGTACCACACCAGGTAGGTCACTCTCCACGGCCCGAGCAAGGTGACTGCAGCTGTAACCTCCAGTCTTCATGGATTGCACTGGGTATTCCTGCAGTAGGTATTCGATGTACTGTATGTGGTTATGTCCAATAGCCATGCTGAGGGCTTCGGATGCCGAGATATTATGGGTAACACCTCCTTCTCCATCCAGCCAAGTCTTGTACATCTGCATCCGATGTGCCTCCAAAAACGATGACACCTGATGTTCTTTAATACCTCTCACGAATTCGTTGTACAAATCGTTCGTCTTATTTCCCAGTTCGATTATGTTTTCCTCCGGATTTTCCATTTCACGAAACTTCTTATATTAATATCCAGCATTCGCTGCAACAGTGACGAAAAATTCCTTCAACTAGCGATACTGAATCCCGCACTACGGTTGTAACGGTTGTGGACATTTAAAATTCACTGATGCTAGTAAACAAACCGTACACACAGCGACCTCCCAGCCCATTGCATTGTGCGGCTTCAATTGTGCATAACCGCTGACCCGCGTTAGGGCATCTGCACTTACGTGTACACGTACATGTACATGTATGTACATGTGCATGTGCAGTTCTTTGTACTGTGCCGAAGTGCTGGGCCACTGAACGTGTGAAACGAGCCCATCCGGCCCGCTCGGGACAACTTCCGACATAAGCAGACAGGGGCCGTGTCCGAATGACTTGGCTACGGTTGGCACAACACGGGGGCCTATACGGCAGCCAGTAGATACCGGTAGCAGCTGCAGCCGTTGGTCATAGATTGTGTGTCACTGCGTGCCGTAGCCACGTAATTCAAACACGCCCCACAGTGCACATGACGCGTCATGTTAATTCGAAAACGCGCATCGACGTGTTCTATCGTTATTGGGTAGATTAATATTCATAGAATTATATAGCTCTATGATTCTTACCCACAGATTTAGCCGCGAAGAAGTCAGGTTTCTGGACAAGTTTTTTTGACTCCAAAAGCTTACACATCGTTAACCGCGGTGCTACTGTTCATGATAATGGCTTGACGGTTAATTACACTGAATTTGCTTTTGCCTTAATTGTAAAACCCGGACAGTCATGTTTTTGACAAACTTCAAGTATAAGTTACATCATTAAGTTGAAGCAGAATTATTAGCCGTTGCCCACCTTTGATGATTGCAATAGCCCTCTACGCAGCCTTTCTAGGCCCGTACTAGTTATTTATGGCCCTATAGGTTCCAATGAGTATAGCTGCTCGTCCTGTTACTCATGCAAAGAATTATGATCAGCATACCCTGTTGTCAAAGGGGAAAACTCCTAGCATAGCGTACATGAGTTCAAGAATTTTACTTTGGTTTATAAAGAACAAGCTCCTCATTACTTGGCGGATCGAGTAAAACCATCACTCCTCCTCTGAAATCTTCCAGCTCTAAGAAAAAAAATGACACAAAAATAAGAACTGAAATAAAAATTACAGCAATGAGAAAAAGACTACATCCTGTAAGAGATAGTATTTGTACATCAGAAACGATGTACTGCATTAGCCTTGTGTGTCCGTCTGTCTGTCTGTGACATCGTACATGGAAAAAATTTGACAAGCCTGAGTGATCTCCGAGTCGTCTCTGGAAAACTTCCTGGATCCACGTGACGTACCCCTGACGTGAAGATCTGCTGTACACTGTAATTCAATTTTTTCCATATGTCGATGTGATGCCAACGTTTGTAGTTCCATTAGTAAATTTTTTTAACCGATTCTAGAGTTATGAATAAGACGATTTCAGTTTGGGGGAAATGGTCAATACACAACTTCTTGCACTGTACACTCAGCGTTCGATCAAACGGGTTATCAGAATTATTATTTTGACTGTGACCAAACTGAAAGTAACTGCAATCGATCCCGATTGTTTTTCAAAAGGCAACTGCGCCACACTTTTAGTTTTTCGTAAGAGTTTTAGATCACGAAAACAGGTCTGACCAAACTGAAAATACACTGCATTGTTTAAGAGGTGGTGTTTTCAAGTTCTTTGGTTTTTTTTAAACTGAAGTGAAAAAAAATTGTTCCTACAACCGGCGAAGTAATTGCCAGCCAAAAGTTCAAACCACCAGGTATATCTTTAGTTTGACTCAACCAATTTTCATGATATAAAATTTGTAGAAAATCTAAACGTAGGGCAAAGATGGTTAGTGTAAAATTTAAACCCATATCAATGTTTTTGGTAATGTACGATAAATTTAGCATCTGGGGATTCTAATAACTATGGGACAACCTGTATATATGACTGAACCTCCAATTCGGTCACTAACAGAGGTGCAGAAGGACCCAGGCCATGTCTTCTAAGCCTTGAAAGCGTTTCATCTGTTTTCTTGTTTCAGGGCAGACCTGTTTTGTTCATGTAACTACATGTCTCCCAAAACTTAAGGCTTCACTCGCTTAAAAGTCAGAGATACGATACGTTTCAGATTGTCTCACCCATACATCGCTTGTCTTCCTTTATCTTTACGTTTTGCCTCTGTACTATCAGTGGACATGTTTATATGATATTGTATTATTTAAATTACGTGTATTTTATAATATTGTTCCTTATTTTAATATAAGTTGTGTTTCTGACATTTCGTTTTAATTTAATCTAAGTCTTAGCTTCATTTAACGTCCTTGAGATCCGAAACAGGCCCCGTTTAGAAAACAGTTATATAAATGATACAGGACCCAGTTTTAATAAAACAGCAAATAAAATAAAAATAAATTTAACAGACTTGTCACTCTTTTCGACACAGTCCGTTTTCCGCGTAAATCCCAATAAACCTACCAACTGCACACTATATATGCAAATTGATAACGGTTTGGGTTAATTATAGCGGTTCTTGCAGAAGGAAATCACCTGTTATTATCAGTAGGGCCTTATGTTATTTTGTTCAACTCAAATGGCACGTGAAGAAAAAGATCGCGAACTATTAAAGATTGTTGCACATCACAGAGCAAACAATGTCTGCCACATTAATTTTATGTGAAAGCATAGTTCGTATTTTGTCACATTTGTCTCAGATCCATTCCCTATACTATACTTTCTTCTTTGTTTACCCAAAGGCCAATTTGTGAGTCCAACGGTGATCCAAGTATGACATTAATCTTCGTGTTTAGAGCCGTGCGTCAGTCATTTAGCCATTATTGGACAATCGATCACTCCCAACAAAAATGGTATTTACAAGGAACTCAAAATCATCTGCCGACCCTCTCCTTTGTTGCTGTGCATCACTTTTGTGTTCACGCCAGGGCTTCCTTTTTGGTCCACGCTGACTCTATACATGCATGAATCGATGATGGCACAACAGAATGACCCCTAGGCTGTTGGGGGTGCCCTTTTTGTCAAAATATGGCCTTGGTCGCCTAGCAACCCTACACAAAACCAGCATAATCACCTTTAGTGCACAGCGCCCTCGCACTATACGCACGTCAATACCATGCTCACGAGGACAGTTAGTTACGTGTACAATGGTTACGAACAGCAACACGGTGACCGTCCCTCACACGGAACAAGCGAACAGTCACCATAACAACACTTATTTTTGACTACCTGTGAACAGAATTTGAAAAATAATTCGTACTTCTTTAGGTGCTGTTTGGTCACAATCTGAAATTTTTACACACAGGAGAAACCTTAATCAGTAGTACGACAGTGGTATTTTCCACCGAGTATTCATAGTTTTGTCACGAGCCCGGGGTCCCCCCACCACCCGGCCGGAATCATGAGCGCACTCGACCCGACGTTGACTGCCAAGCGACGAGAGCAGTTGTACGGTGCGTCCCGCGTAGAGGAGGTACGGTCCTTGCGGCGGTCACTGACACAAGATCACATCTCCAACCTGACGAGTGACAGGACTAAACTACCACCATGGGGGAGCACAACCAAATTTGCTTACAAGGTAGGCCATGAGACCAAGTAGGCCTATGGTCTCAGGAGACAGCTATGAAAAACCTCAACCCAACTTGCTGGTAATGGTATTGTGGATCTGCCTACGCATTTGAACAAGTTGAATGACTGCATGCAGGACCAAATTCAATTTATTTCCAATTCAAAAACAACTTTTATTTCCACACTTTCATTAAAATACGAATCAAAGAATACACGTAAAATAAATACGGGCCATGAATACAGTGCAATATAATAAGAGAAAATAGAGGAAACTTGAAAAGATAGAAATTATGGAGCTATTCATATAAGCGAAGGCTTATAGAGAGCACAGGCTACAAAAATCCAACACTTTTGTAAATAATGCACATTTAATAGCAAATTCACAACAAAAAAGAAATCAGTTTGGTTTCAATCGTCATAGAACACAAAGTTAGGAAAAGAAATGATCAGTAGATATAGATTTGAACTGTTATTGCTATAAGGTCACTATTCTCCACCAATAAGAAGAATATTTGAAAACCACCATCTCCGCAATGAACACTAACTTAAAATCTTCTGCAGTCACACCAAGAATGAAGTCAGTTTTGGGACATCACCTTTGAAGACGAAAATGACTGCCAAACATGTAGGATTACGGTTTTCTTGTTCACAACACGACGACTCTACTTGTCTGAAGTGTCTTGGTAACGACATTAACAATCATGTAGAAGGAAAACAACTGCCACTCCATCCTTCACCAAATAAAAAAAAAACATTTGTGACTGCAGTGAAGCTAAATACGATTTAATGAAATTTTTATAAGCCAGAAGGACGATTGTGCAGTGTGCGACGCGCTTTATCATAGTTTTTTATTGTTGATGGAATGATCAGATTTAGCCAAATTAATCTCCTGCGTAGCATTTGCGATTGTGGTAAGCTTATTCGGGCGATTCTCGCTGATAATACATAAGATTATGGCCACGACTTCATTCGGATTAGAGAATCAGTTAAATCACCGTGCACGGAAAACCCTTCGTCCTCCTCGCTGTTCCTTACAATAGTTTGAAATGGAAAGCCTCACTAAATCAGCCAGAGAATAAACTGACTGCATCTCAGAAGTAATGTTAGGCTATGCCATGTGAATACTGTCTAATAAGTAGGTCTACTGAACTTTGAATAGTGCCCAATTTTGTCACGCATAATTTTGCGCTTGTCTGAGTTGTTCATGAAAACCACCGTCGAATCGAATACACATTTGCCCTGAAAGGGGCGTAACTCCCTGATCTAGTATTCATATATGGGACCGTGGCTAATTCCACGGTAGCCTACATACTCCAAGATGTTTTCCCAAACACTTATCGAATGTTTGCTCCCTAAGGGTGAACAAAGCACACATTTACAGTAAACTCCGGCAGCAGTGACGATCGATACTTAGTTGTCACGACAGCTATGTATATTTGATGGAGGGAAGCGCTGTGATGCTACGAACATCTAACAAAAGAAACACAGCGCACTAACAATGAACGTCCATTGTTATTACACCTTGCTTCTTTTGTTAGATGTTCACAGGTGTAATGTAATATTGATATACATACGATAGTCTGGTGCCTATTTCTTTGGCCTCCGAAGAGAAAATGGTAACACTGTAAAACTCTGGATTTAAAATCAACACTTTTGCTGTTATCAGACGACCACACCATAGGGTATTACTTTAACACCGCTGGTGTTACTTTGCACCCCTATAAGCGTTATAATGCATTGGAGAGTGTTAACAGTACAGTAACACCAGAATTTTTAACACTGGTGAAAAATGTTGGTGTAGTCCTCTGATAACACCGACAGTATTAAGTTTTTCACCCCAGTTTTTGCAATGAACGCATCGCGCCAAAAAAAGAAAAAAACAACAACAACAAACCAGGGCTACGCTAGAGACAACCAGGACTCAGACAAGGAATCGGCATTTATTGAAATTATAAGTTCCATTGCTTCGGTTGAAACCTTTATTCTTGCGTGTAACATGGTTGTAAGGGATGCTTATCGCATTAAATGTTGGCATGGTATCCTTGCGAAACGAGCCGAGACCCTCACGACTCACTTTCCCCAAGTGTACTAGTTTGCTGTTGTACCTAAACGCTTCTCTACGCGTATTGTATTCTCATTACAATCGACTGCTTTCAGTTCGCACGCCAAAGACCGGTATGACAGGTGTGGCGAAGGGTCCCATTGGAGGGGCTAATAGGCAGGTTAGAAAGGTGTGTCACAATCAAGTTGTGGACGTTTCCTCTGGGATCCGAGAACGAGTCCAGAACGAAGTTCCAGTACCTGTGACATTTGCCTCAATTGATTGTGTTACCCTTGCAATTTGGAAAAGGTAGCTGGGTCATAGCCAATATGCCCTTTTTTCAAGCCACATTTGATTTGATTACTCGAAACTAGTTCAACATTAATTTTTTTTTTTATGAATTCTTGAATACTCATCTATAACCTTTGAAAACTGATTTTTCATTCACAGGGTACGCAGCCGGACAAAATCACAGCTCTGTCGTGGGACTCCGGGCTTCAGGTAGATTTGTAGAGAAAAAAAGACGAATCCAGAAATTAGACCGACGGTTTATGTCAGTGTTATGAAGAATGAACCGAAAGATTTCATGAAAAATTGAAGTATGAATTTATGGAGTTTCCTCTTCAGACGAGGCTCATAGCAAAACTCTTTTTGAAAGCAAAACACGAGAAATCTCACTCAGGATCAAGTAAAGTAGAAATATCAGATGACTGTAAAAGTTACCACCACCACTATAGGATCAAAGGAAAACCTGATTTCAATCCATGTACATAATTTTGACTGTTCAGAACAAGGCACACTTCGACATGCGAGGGGACGCAGCCCCCATCGACAACAGCGTTTACCTGAAGTCACTCACCAACAACGACTACGCAAAACATCCTCCACAAAAGGTAAACTATATTCTGTAAAGTGTTAGCCTTGTGAATGGAAGGGACGACAGAATATACTGGTAGATACATCGTTAACCTTCGCATCCATTTGTCTTGTGAAAGTAAACAATCTTAGCGTTATTAAAAAATTTTTATTTCATCACCATTCTCACTTTTGCATTGTAGAAAACGGTTCTACGGCAAGACAATCAAATAAATCTGCCGGTAAGTGACAAAATTGGATTTTTATGCTTAGTGTACTCAGTGAGCGGCCTTTAACGGAATTTGATCACCTCATATAGAATCGCAAGAGCAGATCTAGGGGCCTACAGGAGCCATTCCCCAGAAAGAAACCAAAACATGGATTTTTTTAAGGAATAAAAGGCGATGTTTGGTGTCTCTTTTATTGTCATAACTTTATTATTATTCATTACCACATCGGACAACACAAATATACACAAGTAAAATCAAGATGACAGGAGCTCAGAAAGTGAACGTAGTCACTGTCGCCAACCAACAAACAGCCCCTAAACTGTACGAGCCCGAACCAGACCAACAGCCTAGTGCGCAATTTTCCTAGAAACGGCAGCTCGTTTGGTTGGAACTGCACCTCGCTGTCTCACAAACAACTGTGAAATACATGTACACGCGTTACGGGCACGTCGCTACCAGCAACATGGACACTCCCAACCAACATGGCTATTTTCAACGGATGAGGGGTGCTCCTGCTCAAAGCGGACTGTCAACAGGCAAACAGCCCCTCATTTCCCTTCCTCAAAAGAACTACAAAGCCCCAAAATATTGCCTCTCCCCTCAAAAAGGCTATAAAGGGTTACATTAACAAGATTCTGCAATTCCCCCTCGCATAAAGCAGGTTTGTCCCACCCCCAGTGGTTCTGGATCCGCCCTTTAATAATCGAAGGTCGAATAGCAAAAATTAATATTTCTGATGTATTTTTCCTTTTGCTTTATTTCAGGACATGAATCCACGCTTCTTTCGGGATAAGACATTTGGCTCATCATTCTACAATTCGGACTATAGCAAAGTAAAGTCTTGTTCTTGTGCTTCTCGTTCAGAAACTAATTTACGTGAAACTATAAGTTGTGAATTGCGACTATATTGTGACTGAATGAAACGACTCTCCTCTTTTCATTCGTGTCTGCAGACAATCCAGCGCGAGACTACCTTGCCAGATCTACAGAAAGCGAGAACAGAAATGCGCAGGCGCAATGTAAAAGATATCCGAACAACACACTTTCAGTTCGGCAACGATGATTCAAAGTGAGTGACCATTTTATACAGATTTTAATTGGCAAATTACCCTGCACTGATTTTGAGTTTTTGCCCTGACCGACGTGTATTATAAACACTGTATACTCAGTATTCAAGATTCAAGAAGACGTTTATTCCAAACTCTTTAAAAAAATTACATTGATAATTAAGGAAACTAGGTACATAGAAATTGAAAAGATGGATAAGCTTAAGAAAATACATCAGAAATTAAAGAAACTTAGTATATTCAAATTAGCAATGTGGATGTAAATAACTTTTTACAGATACATGTACATAATAAAGAGAACATCAGAGCTTATGATAAGATAAAGAAAAGCAGCCCCCGAAGGCTTATGAAAAAACCACAAGTGTAGTCGGGTGGGACTCGACCCACGACGTCTTAACCACTCGACTACCGAGCTGGCCGGTATCAACTGGCTGGTTCGAGTCAGGTGTAGTAGCGGGTACTGCGAACAACTATTCCCAAGGATGGATTTGCGCCCAAAAGATGTTAATTAATTTTGGAGTTTTGGCCTGCCCGACGTGTATTACAACACTATATTCTGTGAACTGTGAACATCTCCCCGGCGCAAATCCATCCTTGGAAATACGCTGCATTGATTAGACTCAAATCTTCACGTTTGTCAACCCCCTGCTTATACACTCCAGACGCCACTTGACAATCGAATTATGCCCAATTCAAATTTAGTATTGATGAATCTAGCCATCTGACCACCGCGCATCAAGAAGGTCCCTAGTTGTGGGGGAAGCTCTAATGCCCTTTAAATTTGTTTTCTCGACAGCATACGCACGACAGTTCTTCCTGACTACTTATGACCTTCTTTTACCTAAAGTAGCTGAATCACAATGACCTGATAGGAATTCACTCATCCTGGGCCGTTTTGCAATACTCAACTTCGGCTCCGTCTCAGGCTTCACCTGTTTTTTAGCTAGCTGACTTTGCAGCTGTAAGCGCAGTAATTAATCTAATAGTGCCAAAAAGCATCAAATAAGATGGAAGAGAACAACAAATTACAGTAATCCTATTTAATGTAAACGCTTTGGGTTTTGGGAACGAAGCCTGAGACGGATTCCAAGTCGAGTATTGGAAAAGGGCCCAGATTGGCATTATTTTCTAAGAACTGAGTGCAATACGTTCGCTTTCTGGCAGTGAAACTATGATTATTTACTTGCTCTTTTTAATTCCATGTAGCTTTCAAACGGAGACCGTGTTTTCCTTCAAGGCCGGCCGGCCGCAGTCTGGCGTTAAGCTCGAGCCGCTGCAACCAGCCCTGCACCGCTCTAAGACAGAGGTTATCGACCGCGACCCAGCCGCCACGGTCCAGAGAATGTTGGAAGAGGAGAGAGAATCCTATGTCTTCCGGAAAGGAGACTACAACGTCACCGTGCCCAAGCCCAAGCTGTCAACGTTTCAGAGGGACTATGATGCGACGCCGAAAGAGCCCAAGTCGGCAGCTTTTGTTGAACCAACGCAGATCGCTAAAGGACGTTTCCTGCAAGACAATGAAGTCTTGAAGTGAGTCTACAGCATTATTCTATGATTCACCCGTAGTGGTTTTTACAGCTAGACTAATTCAACAGATCTCCCATGTAACTGAAACTCCGGGTAACGTAACCTAAGGGAGGTTAGGGTCAAGACTAACAGTAACTACTACGTCTATTCGCAAAATGAAGCAGAAATTGTACTCAGAACGTTCTTTTTTAATTAAACCATTATCAAATCACATTTGTACTGGTTTGTTTGAAGTACATTTAGCAGTTTAGAAGAGCTTTTTCAAATAATGCCTGATTTGTACTTCAAATCTGAGTTGAAAATTTTCAACACGGGTTCGTGCTGTTATAGTTTTAAGATGTACCGATCATCCTTTTTATCAGACAAAAATGACAGAATTTTGCATTTTTTTCAGGGCAAGCATGAAAGAAGAGATGATCCTGACCCCTGACTCCATGGACGATGTAATTGAGGCGAAAAAGATCGCTGAAGACAACAGTGCAATCTTGAGAAACATACTCTTGCAGTATGATACCATGAAGTAAGTACATGTTTAGGAAAACCTGAGTATAACTGACGGTATCGGTTAACTTTGCTTCTGAAAGTACCGGGAATCGTCATTACTAGGGATGTTAGCGGCAAACTTGATAGAATGTTGTTTACATAATATCCACTAAAGTGATGCGAAATGAAATCAGAAGGATGAATCAATAATTTTGGCAATTAATTTTGTATAAAAACATGTATGTAAGCGTCAAAGCACCTCAATCGCAATTCACTGAACCATCTAACCATTCTATCATTATTCGGTTGATATTAAAACACGTTTTGTAAAGGGTTTACTCTTGTGCCCTATTTTTGCGAGCAGAATCTTCAGTCATTAAAGTCTTTTGGGGGGTTACATGAGGCAGTATGCAATTCCAAATAGATAAGCCCCAGAACCTAAGCTTACTAACTTTGACTATTTTAATTGTGATTGCAGGTCGGGTTATGTCTCCAGGGAACTTCTACAGCGGGCTTGTAATAGCCTGTTACATCCTATCCCCCAGCCAAGCATAGACGAGCTACTAGTGTCAGCTAGAGAAGGGCCTGGTAAAACGATAGACTATTTAGACTTCATCAAGCAGTACAGCCGTAAGTTATATTAATAAACGTTTTTTTATACTTCTGATATACTGGAAAGTCAGATTATCTTTTCGTATACTCGTAGCGGCTTTTTGACATATGTTTTGCGTCGGGCGTTTATGCTCATTAAATGGTGTCCAGGGCATTTGTCTTGCATGGTGCAAACACCGACATCATAGGAAAAAACCATGAAACTGTAACAACTCGTTTTAAGAAGTGAGAATTCTGTCTTTTTAAAACTCTGTGTTACCAAAATCGCAACCCCAAACGGCCAAATGATATTTGAGACCGCCAGGCGCGGATTTAGGAAGGGGGGGTCAAAGGCCCCCTGCTCTGACACCAGGAATGAATAAATTAAAGAAATGAAATAAGTGTTACGGAAATAATAATCAATAATAATAATTGATCCACCTTGACCGTTTCCAATAATCTGTTCTCTGTCATCCATCTCTACAGTTTTGTGTTACTGTTCTGTACTACTTTGTCAATCACAATGCGACGCAGGGCAGGCGACTTTGAAGAAATGTTACTTTTAGACGTTTACAATTATTCTAAAATCGTTCATTTTATTCAGTTAAGTCTCCACTCCAAGCTACTAAAGTCAGCGAGTCCACAGAGAAGGATGGTGGGAGTGTATCTTCCAATCCGAAAGGTCAGCGCGACACACTCAAGAGTGCGGGGGCTACAGGAGGCAGCGGGCCCGTGCTTGAAAATGCATCTACCGGCAAAGAATATCAAACTGGTGTACATTTTGAGGTATTCAAATATTGCTTTTAACTGAGACATTGTGAAAACTTTGGCATAGCAGCTAAATGTTTTAATGACGGTTCTCTTTGGACAGAAGTTAAGGTCAAGGGCCAATTTCATAGAGCTGCTTAAGCACGAAATTTGCTTAAGCGGGAAAAACTTTGCTTAATAAACAAAGGTCACCAGCTCAAACTCTATCTGATTGTCATGCTAACCAAAAAAACAGCTAAATACAATACCAAAACAATATACATCACATGGAATTTTGGCTGGTTAACTGATTTATCAAGCAACGTTTTTTCGCGCTTAAGCAAGTTTGTGCTTAAGCAGCTCTATGAAATTGGCCCCAGGTCGTACTTCAGGCCAACACAATGGTTATGCAAATTTGCCACGTGAATTGATAGTATTTGCAGCGTATTTTGTTGTGATTGAAATGTGTTTAACTTTGAGGGATTCGAAGTTGGAGTGCTGATCTGACTTCACTATTTGGAGTTCATGTTTCCTTCTGTGCCAAGCATGAACTGGCATTTATTTGCATGTCGTGTCTCAAAAAACGTTGTTTTAATTGAACTTTGAAAATTTCAGGATATTGAAATAAAAATGAAAGCAATGCTAATGCATGTAAACTTTCCTTACATATTTAAGTTTCCTCTAAAAATACTGTATGAATATTTCCCGATCAACCATCAAAAACAACGGTTTAGTATAATTGTTTTTCTCTTTTCTTTAGTTTGCCTTATACCAAGGACTGATGCGTCATTCGATTCCAATCTTATTCGTTTTTCAGTTTGGTTCCGATGCGGATCAACCTGCGAGTATATACAACAAAGATTATGACTCGCAAGTATTGAAGACGGGGAAGAAACCGGAGAAGTATCAAGGACCTCCGTCGTCAGAGGTGAAGATTTACAAAACGCCGTTTCAATTTAGAGAAAAAAATCTGAAATACACAAATTCAATATTAATATTAAAATCAAATGAAACAAACACATGAAGTTCATTTTATTCAACACAAGATGAGATAAACAGATTCCATTTTGATAGAGTCATGGAAAGATTCTGAACAGCCAATGTTACAGTCGTCATCCTGATATCGGCATTGCTTTTCAATCGTCAAATTGCAACCCAACAGGTGATGCACGCGACAAATGGAGCCGAATTTGGAAAGAGCACGAAACAAAGTGACTTCGTCAACTTTCAAGAAAAGGACAAGGTGCAGTTACGGAGCATTGTGAGTATTAAAACACAGAAAGACCTTATGAAAGTGTAGACGAATGGGTGGACGGGATATGATCAGGAAGGGACCAAGAAAAAGTAAGAATTGTGGTGTAGCTATTCTAAAAAAAAAAAAGAGGGAAACATCAGTTGCCGGTCATCTTTAGCCAAAGTTCACACGGTGTCCCGGCCGGTCCAAGGAGCTTCCCTGCAATACCGGTACATAAAGATATCATCTACTGCGATTATTACTGAAGCAACAATGACTGATTAAACTTTTGATTATGTTTTCTTGGAACAGCTGAAATCGAGAGACAAGCAGAGTTTGAAGAATAAAGGCAGACACGACAAAAATAGTGTCATCTTGACGTGTGATAAAGAGAGAGACGCAGCAGACAGGCACAAGTCACGTGGGTATACTTTTATTTCTTTACGTAATACAGTGACGTTACGCCAGGTTGTTTACGTCAATGCAAATCACGAGCTATCACGAAAGATTCATGAAAAGAAAAACAGGTCTGAAACCTTTTGTTTGATATGGTAGGATAGATTTTACAGCTGAGTTTGTGATCAGAATTAACATGTTATTCTATTGTCTTAAGTATGTGCAGGCTCCTTTTGTTGAACTTGTTTGTGTTTTCGTTTTCGTGGGTTTTTTGGACAATATTCAACCAAAAATTAAAATTATGATGTGTTATTCCAACTGTTTCCACTGATGTAGTATCCCACGAAAGTTACGTGAAGTTTCCTGCCTCCCTGAAAGTCACTGTGGCCCCTCCACTTTCCAAGTATCGATACCTGGATGGTGACGGCGCTTTGCCCTACCCGGCCAACATGCCCGGCCGGTCAGAGACCGGCGAGGCTTTCAGCGGATGCAACCTGTCGCTGCCCACCGAGACAGAGGAGAAACTGCGGGATTTCCGGGCCGAGAACGCCGAGCGGGTCCGGGACAGCCGACGAGTGCACTTTAAGTTCGGCACAGACGAGGTGGAGCCGAGCACGGAGGCAAGGGATAACTTTACCGAGGGGCCAAGCACAAAGGCAGAGAGAGCGCAGGTAGCAGGAACGAAGAACCAGACTGATCCCGGGTACCCGCATCTGATGATCAGGTGAGACGATGGATGCAAATCGTCTGCTGCCGTCTAACTTTGTCCAGCTATTTTAATCGCAATAATATCAAAACCTAGACGAGCGTGTGTCACCGGCTGTCCAATAAGTGTCGTGCCACAGGAAGAGTAACGTAAATCTTGTCAATTTTCTGCAAATCTTGTCATCTTTACTCTATTTTAACTCTCCTTATCATTAACATCCATTTCTCATACTTCCACACTTCACAATTCAGTTTAGAAGATTTTGTTTTAATGATCATTTTGCATGGTCATTTCGAATCGATCTCCTGCTTTTATATGCTTAATGCAATAACATGGTTGGGTTTTTTTTGGGGGGGGGGCTTCTTAATAATTTAGTTTAAATTACTTTTTAAGCTTTATCTTGTCCTGAAAATGCTTTTATTTGAAAACACGTAGACCAATGCCTTGCTTGTTCCATTACATTCACTTTAAATTTCTATCCAATGATGAAAATCGCAGCAAAAACACGCAAGATCTGAGCAGAGATCCAATGGCGAATGGGATCTTTGATAGCATCCGCCTGGCCAAGAAATCCTACTATAACACGTGAGTATAAAGCCCCGTTCAAACGTGACCCGCACTTTGTTTTAGAGCGAAGTAAATTTTTGAGGGCAAATGCCGATATTCGATTTTCAGGCTGACCCTCGCAGCACCCTTCAAAATCAGAGTTGTGGTTCGACGTCTCTTACCCAAGGATCGGAGATCATCTCTGGTTTTTCATTTTTTCCGAATCAAATAACATTTATAAAAATAGAGTGAACTGTTTCAAGACGTGATAGCTATTTACCAAATCTGGGGAGGAATTGGCCGTGCACTTTCACCTTTACCGATCTAATTATAACTTCACTAAATAAAAAATTCAAGAATTTTAATCTACATGTATTTAGATGTAGTTATCAACGCCAGAATTTTTCATTGATTTTCCGTGCTTGGTGATGCTAAATGTTTCTCAAAACAATAGGTTCCATTTCCTGTATTATTAACTGAATTTTTTGGGTTTCACTCTGCCAGGGCACCGAATCCGTCCGATCCGCTCCACATCAACCTCAGACGGATCATCATGGAGATGGACCCCGATCACACCGGACACGTGACCAAGAAAGTTCTCAAGGAGGCGTGTGGAAAATTCCAGATCAACGTGAGCGCCAAAGCACTGGATAGGCTGATTCAGAGGTAATATTTCTTTGTCTAAATAAGAAAAGGTCAATCGTGTAGGTGGCGGCAAGAGGCGTCATTTGGCGTCATTATACATACCGCATGGGTTCTTTAAGTTTCTAAGAGGTTCCACTATAACCCATAGTCCGGATAGGCCTAGTTCTCAGCATTAACGTATATTTGTAACACTTTAAAATTCAGATTATCCATTTTTTGAGGTATAACATAGCTTAATTTCTGATCTCTCTGCAGATGTGACAAACACAACGACGATAAAGTAGACTATCACCAGTTTATAAGGTCCCTTACACTTGAGCAGCTTCCTGATTTTGTGTCATCTTCCCATGATGCATCACTCATGAGACATGACTACCGACCTCTCAAACAGCGCAGGTACTGTAGATTGTGAAACTAAAAAGAAGACCCGCATTATACAATGGAATTGTATTGAAAGGCAATCAAATAATTGTCTTTACATTTAAAAATTTTGGTACAACAAAGCTGATGTCAAGCATTAAGTCGTCATCTAAGGCATATTAATTGCTAAAAGAACTTTTTTTTATTTAGAAAATCTATTTTTGCATTTTTAGACTGCACTGTGCAACTCAATGTGTAAATTTATGAGCCAGTCGTTTGTTAGGGCCAAAGGAAAATGAAATTTGAAGATCCCGTCCCGGAGGGAATACATGTATTTCAAGAAACATTGCCCTTTCATCAGTTGCTTTCTCACAGGGTTTTCCCCTGAACGTTGATGATTAGTTTTGAATAAATTTCATAATCAAACATTGAAATGCCCTAGGCGGGAGTGGATATAAAAAGCAGCCAGACAGTGTTAACTGGAGTCGAAGTTTGACAAGGTTATCTGTTGTGTCCATTCTTCTCCAGTTTTACCAATGCACAGCTACTGACGATGAAACACATGGATATGAAACCACTGAAACCAGCCCCGACTCATTTCTTTCATGCCGACGGTTCGGGAGGTAAGTTATGCTTTATCCTTATAAAGGGCCAATTTCTTTGATCTCACTGAGGGCAAGATCGATTAAGGACTTGAGGTTGGTTCGTGGCGCACCTAGCGCACGTGCATCAAAGTTGAAGTCTGAATGACTCTATAATCAGCCGTTGTCAGGTCATTCTGGCCTATGGGGAGAAAGGTGGCCGTAGGAAATGTGAAAGTGAGCCTTAACTAGTGACATGCTGTATATTCGCGCTTTCCCCTTACAATACGAGCGATTCACAATAGTGCGCCTCCAAGAGTTTGCAACGCGTTGACCAATCACAGTGCGCGAAATCTGTCGACCGTTTTCGAGCTCACATTGGGTCGACAGATTTCGCGCACTGTGATTGGTCAACGCGTCGCAAACTCTTGGAGGCGCACTCTTGTGAAATGCCTGTATTGGTCCTCGCTGCACTGTGTTTTTTTAAATGGCTATGGCAACCAACCACGTGACCTGCAACCTCGATGGCTGGTCGCGGATAGTCGACAAGACCAGTCCAACCATTTCGACTAGCATGCGTTCGGTCAGAGATAGTCGAACTATAGTTAACTGTGGCCCTGGATCGAACTTGTCCCAAACGAACACAGGAAAACACATTATTCGACGCTTGCGCCTTTTAAAAGTTGAAACTCAGTCTATATATAATAAAAACAAAGTGTATTATACAATTCTAATTCCTATTTTTCATTAAAAAGAGTAAAGTCTTAAAGGTATTTGTACTTTGCTTGTCTTTGTCAAGAGCTGACTTTTAGTGCGCTTCTGTTAAATTTAAAATCAATTTATAACAGAATTCATACTATCATTTTTGTATCGCAGAGAACCAGTTCCAATCAGTAACTAACCAAGACTACATCAAACCAGAACTTATGATGGCTGCCTCTATTTAAATAATTGCCTTCGATCTCTGGAACCAACGAAGCAAGATACCTCAAGTGTTGGTTTGCATGCGTGCGTTTGACTGTTATTTAAATCTGCAACGACTTTGTCTGATGGCTTATCAGAGCTCCAAAGGTTACATATGCTCTAGAAGTTTCCTTCTAAAACGTACTACCATGTATAAGATACAATGGCGAGAAAAAATATGATGACAAAAATTCAAAGGTTAAGAATAATGGTAATATTAATATGAACAAAACATGCTTGTAGAAATGAAAATCAAAGTAACAGGGAATAATCTTCAGCCTTTTGCTGGCATTGAATTTTTCGCCTAGCGTTACATGTTCATCTCTTTACATGGCATTCAATATGGCTGCCAATTTTCTATGGCTTCATTAGTACCAAAGAGGGTGATACATACGTGATAAATATTAAGTTTGGTCTCCGAGGATGCAGTGCCTGATACCTGTGAAATCTGTTTTGAAGTCATTTTGTAAGTCTTGCCGTAGAAATGGGATTTAAATGTATTAAGTGTTTTACTATTAAAGTTATATAATGTCCGACGTATTTGAAATGCACCATAACTGGGCAAGATTCATGACAATTTCATTTATTATCATTGCTATTCCTTTTCCTGCTTCCTAAGAAGATTTAACTTGAACTTGTAATATGTACAGTATTTGTTTCATTTGGAAAGCCATTTCTCGTACATTTTAATCACAGGGCGGCATATATACAAAGTTATATACTACGACAGTAAGCATTGAACAGAATGCACAATGTAATCTGTTCATGTTATGTGCTATGAAAATAATGCTGTGCTTTTCATAGTGTTTTTATTCCAACTGCTTATAAGACCAACAACTTTTTAAAACCTTTGCCCATTCAGCTTGTGTATATTCATTTTACATTTCATTTATTTTTCACGTGTTTGGGTTGCCATTTATTTCAGGCCAGAGGTGTAATTTTGTATCATATTTTTAAAAAGTTATTAACTTTCAACTTATGATGTACATGTATGTATGCACACGGTTTGCAAATAAAAAGGAAATAAATGCTTTGCACGAAATTCATATTACAATGTAACTATACCCAAGTTATGTACTTTCTTACGAAGTTCTTTTACATTCTTACAGTGAAATCACTCACCCTGCTCTTTTTTCATATACCTGCACAGCTGAGATTTACTAGTGATCTGCAGCTGGCAACAAGGTCGGATGGGGAGGGGGAAGAACCCATCAAAGACTTGTTTAGAAAAATAGTTAGAGAGTGCCGATTTTCGGTCTATTCATTTCCCTTCTTGATAAAGGCGATTAAGGTTAATTTAAAAATATCCAGTTTTGTTAGTACTAAATCCTCCGCGCCCGCAAAGTGGTTCTGGGTTTGCCCTTGTCCGACAACAACTTTCATTCGCTGAATTCCTAATGATGAGGCATTCTGGTCTGCCAAGATGATACCAGCAAGCCAAAACTACGGGAGGAGAGAGTCTGGGTAATTCAATAGAGCAATTCCCTATCATGTAAACCCGGATCAAAGCAGAACCCACTCGTCCTGCTTGATTTATCCAACATTCAGTGCCCTATTTTCTTCTCGAGCCTTCTTGAATTTATGGTTCAAGTGAATGTCCTGCCTGCTCATGTCTCAAAAGGGGTATTTTGTAGGTATATCTCCAGTAATGTAGTTTATATATCGACTCAAGGCGTAATAAGACGAGAAAAAGTGTCACTGTTCTGATTCACCTACGCTGGTCTCACTGTGCACATGTAACAAGTGCTCTGACGGAGCCTTATACGCAGTGAGCTACAGAAGCGATGAGCCAGTGATAGCGGTGATTTTTACAGTGCTGGAGCCGCTTACAGTCATGCCAGGAGGCGTGAATGTCTTAAATCATGTTTGAATAAAACACTCCGGAAGTCTAACACTCCGGAAGAAATATCAAAAAGAGTTACCCCTTTCTTCCGCACGTGCCCCCTTCCCCTAGCGGACGCCTGTGCCTCCAGGTGACCCCTATTTGAAATCTATAAATAGTCTCCCTTGAGTTTATATAGTTATGCAGCATCAGCTTAGTTTCTCGTTGTGCCCCCCCCCCTTGAAAAAGCGTGTGCACCCCCGGGTGCCCCCTGGACATGCGGCCCTTATAGTCACGCCACTATTGGAGAGATACAACTTATCATAAATATGCATGTACTTGTGACGCTTGATATAAGAGTCAGTAAATTAAGCCAGAGGATTCTGTTGACAGACAGCTGGTTTGATCATTAGTGATAGAAGACTGGACGGGATGGATGATGTTACCTTGGCAACGGTTTGCCGCTAAACGTGGGACCCACAAAATTATAGTATCAGCCAGAGCTATTTGTAGAATACATATGTATTAACGATAAGTTCTTTGAAAAAAGAAAGAGAAATGATCAGGGGATATTCTCTGTTGTTTTTGAAATCATGAATTGCACCGACGCGACGCCGGCAAAGCCGAAGTTATGCATCCCGCATGATGTAGAGGGCGTGTTTTACCGATGTGAGAAGTGTACAATACACGTGGGTGTACGTGCGTACACCACGTACGTGCCGGTAGAAAGGTCGGTCAAGCTTACCCACATGTGTGCACGTACGTACCCACCCAGCCACGAAACTTAGCAACAGCACCCCTGTAGCTGTCGGAGCCCCAAGAGAGCTTTGTGAGTAAAATCGCGGTAGAATCGGTGTATATGTATTTGTTTAAAGTATTTGTGCAATCGGTGGGCCAAGATTTATCAGGAGTGCACAAAAGCTGGCATTATCTTTTTAATCCGTTGAAGTCTGAGGCAGAACTTTAGTGAAATTGCAGTTTGCGCCATTGCCGTGCGTGATTGGTAAGTGTTGTGGGTGTATTGCGTAACTTTGCACAGAATAGCTCTATCATTTTTCAGGTGAACTCGGGCATTGTCGGCGGTTGAACTTCTGTCCTAGGTCAGCAGCGAGAGATTGTGTGTGTCATTGCTGGAGGGCAGAGTGCATTTACTGTTCAGCGCAACTTGCTTGACGTACACGTAGGTCAGGGGTAACCTGTAGCCACCCGCAGTCAGCCGTGAGTTCGATGACATTTTGAGTTTCTGAAGGGAACCCAACAAACTTGATATCGTTCGAAAGCTTATGAACTGAGAAACCTGATGATACTTAAATCAGCTCATTACCTTTAAAATAAACTGAGATATTCCAATTTCACTGGAACAAAGTGCAGAGTTTTATTCTGCCAGTTTTGATTGTGTATTGCAGATTCACTGCAATCAAACCAGCATATAAGTAGCAATAAAGAATTGATAGTTATTGGTTATATCCACATAACTTTAGTATCATCGGAATGCTTATTGAAAAAGACATCTAATGTTGTTTAAAGTTACCTTTAAATTTGACCAACATAATGCAACTCTAAATGGAACTGTGTAAATTTCTCCTCGCACAATCGATTAGAAATAATTCTACAAAATTGGTCCATAAAAGGCCTCTATATTTCACTGCAGTGACAGGCTGACATAATGACATCTAGAAGAGCTTGTCTGCACTTGCTCCATAGCTTGTTGTCTTAAAGTGGTGCTCGACTTGACTTGTACGTGTACTTACTCTAAGTAAATTGACTTGTGACCTAACTTGTGACTCGACCAAATGACTTGTGACTTGACTTGGGCTTGCACGAATTGACTTGCTATCACCTTTGAAAAGTAGGTACGAAAACTGACGTGTGTTTCATGATTACGATAAATTTGACATCTGTGCGTATACATATAGCAAAATAATTGAGGGTTAACATTTTGTGGGTTGGGATTTTGTACCAAGACTTAATACTTGCATATCCCTAGTATGAGGTGCCTAGTGGGGCTTCATAGTAAACTAGGGTTAGACAATGTGTAGTTGTGAGAATATTTAATTTTTGTGTTTGTGTGTGCAATTTTTATCTTCCCCCAGACTTTGGACAAATTTTTCACTTTCTCGAACATCGATTGTCGACCATCATGGCCCCGGGAATCATTTCCAAGCTGATTGCTTTTGCCTTTACTCTGACCTATGCCCTGCTGAGCGCCAGCATGGTCCTGTTTGGTATTTTCATGAAAATCATCAAGAAGGGACCCAAGGGGGTCTTCAGCTGCAAGACACGGGATACCAGACCGCCCTGCATGGACAATCCCGACCTTGGAACACACGGCTTCCTACGAATAAAGGTCAGTAGCTCTTCTGCAGTTCATTTTAAAGTGTAAGTCTGCATTTGACAACCAGATTTAGAAGTCATTACTGAGCTGGCACAACGCTCGTGGACAGGTGGTATGCAAATATTACATGCCTCTTTGACCAATAGGGTGTTGGGATTTCCCAAATGCACTCCTGCATCAAGGTGGAGAATGTGGGTGTGAATGAGGTGCCACCTCATATGTCAGATCTAATCAGATCAGTCCATAAAGTACCAAAAGTTATTGACGTTATTGTGAATAAGAAAGTACGGTGCAAAGAAATAGAGCATGTGCTGTGTTCACGCTCTAATGCCCTCTGCACACATAAATGTGTACGTGACATATCCACTTTGGTACTCTGTATGGGCCATGTGGATTTGAAGTGAAGAGATCTACAAGTTTTTGTATTCAGAGGCGCCTGCTTTTTCTCAGCTTTAAAATTATGTTGGAAAGAATGCCACGGAAAGAATATGGATGCCACTTGACACCCTGTGTACAAACCCCCTGAGACTGGTCTGCAAAATGTGAATTGTTTTGTACATGCACCTGTGAGTGAATATTGCCTCAATATTTGCTAGGCTTAAAATTTGTTGTTGTTTTGTTTTAAAGGCACTTTCAGCTACTCAGGCATTTTGCGCCAATGTTTATTCGGTTATTCATAACCTTTATTAGCTTCACATTATGGAGTTAGGAAGAAGGTCCAATTTTAGAGGCAGGAGGAAACCGCAGTACCCGAAGAAAACCAGTGAGAGCGAGTATGGACTGGAAACCAAATGCACTTAAAGCCTGGGCCAAGCCAGGACTCGAACCCGGGCCTCATTGGTGCAAAGCGAGGAAAGAACAGCTACGCTAACCCGCTCCCCCGCTTAAAATTTGACCTTTCAGGACATGTTACTACTTTCAGATGACTAAATAGGTCATTGCAGGGAAAACTT